CTCAGGTGAATTCCTTAAGTGTCGCACGGGCCCTGCACCATGCAAGGCAGTGGCGGGGGCTGGGGCTGGGGCACAAACTCCATAGGCTCTGGAGGCTCCATCCCCTCAGGCTTTACAGCAAGTGAGGGGGATGCGGCAAGAGGGACAGAAAACTAGCAGAGTCTGAAATTCGACACAGGACATGTGGCCCAGATGGCAGTGAGCAGGGGTCTCCTGCCAGGCAAAGCCGGGTGTGGGGAGGGGCTCCCGGGGGAGGCAGGTGGAGGCTGGTGTCTGGCTCTGCCTCCAGGTGTTTCCTGCCCATCCCCCACCCCCCCACCCCCGCCTCCCCAGGTCCACACCAGTCGGTCCTCGGTGCTGCAGGAGACAACTGAAGCTTGTGAGCGCAGCTAGCTCTCCCTGCCGGCTGCTGAGACGAGACAGGGGACTGCTGCCTGCCCAGGCCCCTTCACCAGAAACTCTGTGGATGGGGGCAGGGGACGCACAGGGAGGCCCCATCTCACAACCTGTCCCTGTAAAAACCCGGGGTGGGAACAGGGAGGCAAAGCCATTTATAAAGCTTTAAAACCATTTATGGTCCCAGGGGGCAGATAAACAGTTCAGCGCTATTCTTGCCAAATTGTCTTGGCTGGCAGTGTGGAGGCTTCAAGGGAGCTGGAGGAGGGGTGCTGCCTGCATCACAAAGCAGGGGCAGAGTGGCCTCCACCAGGCGGCCACTGGGCCTGCCCGACATGGCTCTGCCTCTAAGGCTTGGTCCGTGCTGTTCCCAGCACCCATAGGCCCTCTCCTCCTTCTCCCAGCCCATCCTTCAAGGCCTAGCTCGGAAGCTTCCTCCTCCAGGAAGTTCCCCTTGGTTCCTCCCTGATCCATTACCACCCTGAGCACCCAGGTCCTCCCCGGTTCTCTCAGGCACTCAGCTTTCTCAGAGCTTAAGCGTCCTTGTGAGCCAAAATGTCTGTAGCCCTTCCCTTCTCTGCTCACCCTTGGAGGGTGTCATCTGGCTTTATCACTTTATCACTCGATGCTTTTTTACATTCGTGATCCTGACTTTGTTGTGTGTCTGAATCATCTGGATTCCTGGCAGGGCTGAGTAAAAATCCAAGTCCCCCAGAGTTGGGAGGAATCAGTGTCTAAGCCCTGCCACACCCACCTTACAGATAAGAAAATCAGTGTCTAAGCTCCCCCGTACCCATCCCTGAGCTCTTACAGATAAGAAAACTGAACCCTGAGACAGGCCTGTGACCCAAGGTCACCAGCAAGAGTAGAGCAGGACGGAGGCCCCTCAGGCTCGTGTCACCTGGGCCACAGCTAAGCAGAGTCCTTGGGTCCATGCAGGGAGGAGGCTGAAGGTGAGCACCCAGGGAGGGCAGCAGGCGGTCCGTATTCTTACCCCATTAAATGAAAAGGTAGGACGTGATCCCTCTTAGCTCTGGAATTTGACGTTTTGAAGTTCTGTGGTGTGCGTTAAAAGTTCAGGAAGTCTTCCTGGAAGAGGAGGGCACATGCTTGCCTTTGATGGTGGGTAGGTCTGGGAAGATGGGCATTCCAGAGGGTGGAGCACAGCAAGAGCAAAGGGGCAGCAGGAAGGTGGGGGCCCGGCGAGGCCCTAGTGCTCCTGGGAGCTGATCAGAGTGAACTGGGGGCTGATGTCAGGCCGGGCGCCGGCAGAGCTGCCAGCGGTGTATGTGTCTGTCGGCTGTGCCTGGCCCTGGGACCTGGCGCCGTCTCGGGCGTTGCTGCTCCTCAGCGGGCGTGTATCTGCAGAGCGAGGCTGAGAGGCTCCAGCTGGACCGGCCCGGGTGTCGGAGGGTGGCTGCTGACAGCCCTGGGCACCTGGCCTGAGCCGGCACCCTTCCCGTCACGCTGCCAGGCCGCTCGCTGCTGGAGGAGACCTGGGCCCGGAGGAGCTGCAGCCGGGCGGAGCCAGGGACCAGCTGCATCTCAGACCTGAAAGAGAGCTTTATAGCAAGCAGTCTTTTTCTGAGACCTGAGGAAGGACTTAGACCCAGAGAGGGACGAGGTCCTAATAACATCAGCACGGCACTGAGCACAGGCACCTCCTTCCCACAGAACCCCTGGGGTTCTCCTGCTTTACAGAGGATGGAACTGAGGCAGAGGAATGGAGGCATTGGAGGCCCATTCTTGCAGCTAACAAGAGGCAGAGCCAGGCTGGTGCTTGGGAGTCCAGCCTGGGTGTGTTGCATGGCTCCCCCGTACCCATCCCTGAGCTCCTCAGCCCACCCACAGCCACTGGCAGTCTCCATCCTCCCTGCAGTCTCAGCCTGACAGCACTGGGAGCCCCTTGACCCAGGCACATGCTTCCCTATGGGAACACCGTGGCTCCCGCTACCAGTCAGCCCCAGCCATGGCCCCTGGTGGAGGACGGTGCTGAATTATAATCCCTGCATGACCACAGATAACACTACCTCCCAGAACCCCTCTCAAGCTGTGCGAGTGCCCTCACTGATGAAGTGGAGCCATAATTACGGGGTGCAAATAGCTCAAATGCACTCCAGGTGACACACACCGCAGGAGTCACTCTGCGGGTGTTGGGAAGGATCGGCACCAGAGTCAGGACCACTGCAGCAATCTCTCCTGCAGCCATGGCCTTCCCCCGCTCCCACCGGGGACCGGCACCTTCTGCGTCTCCAACATGTGCACGTCCACCCCAAACCAATAAGCTGTGGCCCAAATGTCAGGAGCAGATGGCTCAGGTGTGGCCACCAGCCTCCTGGCTCAGGGGACAAAGAAGAGGGCCACAACTGGGCCAGCACCCCCAAACCTGATATCAGCACAGGGCATGCTCCCCCAAAGATGCTGTGGCATTCAGGCCATTCGTGTGGGGGAGACATGGGATTCAGCAGTCAGGGGAAGGCAGCAGGGACCCCAGGGTGGACGGGAGCAGGGGATCCAGCCCTGACCCGACCCAGACCCTTCATCTTACTGGGGTGCGGGGCAGCTCACTTCTCTCCAGGCCTCAGTTTACTCATCTTCAAAAGTAAGCACTACACCCCCTGGTGCCACACGGTCCCTGTGAGATCACTGGGACATCAAAAAGAAAACCACTGCAGTGGATTGAAACACATTAAATCTATTTTCAAAAAGCAGTGAGATTGCATCGATACTGTAAACATCCACAGACCTCACAGGGCACCAGCTCATTCTGATCCTGGGTAAAGGCAGGAACGGAACCTCCAGCCTCCGAGTCTTCCCTCTGCAGGCTGCAGGCTAGGGTAACCACCCAGATGAGAAGAGAATGTGCTCTGGGGCTTTTTCGGGAAGAACTAGAGCCTGTAAATGTGGAAGAAAGGACACATTTGGAAAGTCTTGCTACTTTGTAACTCCCAGTGAAGTGACGAGCCAGGTGAACGCACAGCCCCGCTGCAGCCGTGTGCTGGGAGCCCACAGGACCTGACAAGGGCAGCTGCGACCATTAGCGAATGGTGACATCAAGATGAGGGGCGGCAGACACCAGGCCCCTGGAAGAGATGCAGCAGGAAGCCAGTTGAGAGAACACTGATAAAGGAGCACGTTCAACGCCAGGCAAGGAATCCCGGCCAGCTCCAGGGCGTGGAAAATTCTGTCAGATAAACAGTCCAGTTTCTCCAATAAACAGCGTGGGGGTGGGGGCCGTGAATGAGTTTCGAGCTGTTCTAGAGCAAAAAGAGCCGATATCCTGATTTGAACTAACCAACTGTAAAAAAGGCATTTCGGAGATGACAGAGATTGCTGCTGAACGTAGGCTGGGTAATTTTTTTTTTAAATCCTCATCCGTCAGATTCTGCACTGAAGTAGTTATGGGTAAACGGATATGCTCTGTGATTTCCTTTAAATACTCCAATCTCTTCCTCCACCCCATCCCCCAGCAAGGAAAAAAAAATTGAGGTTTGGGACATTGAGGAAGGGATGTGATGGCGCCGGTTCTGACTGGTTTGAGAGGTGACAGTGAAACGTTCAGGAATTTTGTAAGCCGGTTGTCAACCCTTGCTTTAACTGAAACTGGTCATGGCAAGAAAATCTACAGCACGAAAATCAGCAAATGCTCCCAGCCGGGTGCTTTTAGAGCTGGTTTATCAGCTCACCGCAGGACAGGGATCAGCTGAATGCCAGCAGCCACGGATAGACCGTGTCACTCTGTGTTGCGTCTGGCGGACGTTTTCCACAATAAGGAGTTTGCAAAGGGCATGTCCCTGGGCTTGGAAATCCCACGTCTAAGAATGTGTCCTGAAAGCTACCGAAGTAGGTTCAGGTGGTTCCCGTGACTTAGCTACAAAGACGCTTATTAAAACATTGCTAAAAATATTTCCTTAATGTAAGAAACCCACACATCTGAAGGGAATTGGTTTTCAGTTTTGCAAGATGAAAAATTCTGGAGATGAGTCGCCCAACAGTGTGAAATATACTTGATGCTCCTAATCTGCACACTTAAAAAATGGCTAAGACGGTACATTTTACGTGTGTTTTACCGCAACTAAAAATTTTAAAGGAAAGGGGTTGGCTACATTAAACAATGGAATCTGCTTCGAGATTATGTTGCAGAAGAAGGTGTGAGGATCTGGAAGAATAATGGTGAGCCTGTCAGACGCAAATGCAGGGAAGCAGGTTACAAAACCGTATGTTCGGCGAGTGACTGCATTCGGGTAAATTTAAAACCACACAAGCTGGTAGAGCCAGGCTGGAAGGGCGCCATTCATTGAGAGCGTGCTACACTGAGCATGGGGGGACATGCTCGTAAACGTGTCACAAAACCCCATGCTATTAGTGTTCCCCTTCTACGGATGTGGAAACTGAGGCTGGGACAGGGACAGAGGCCAGCAGAGGCAGAGCAGGGCCTGGGGCCCCTCCCGTGGCCCGTCCCTGGCGGAGCTCCTGCCTCTCAAGGGCATATCCTGGGGTGCTTCATTTCCCCCAAGGCTTGTCTTCTCAGTTTTCTAGAGTAGCACGGGTGACTTTTGCGGTGGGGAAACGTGATGCTGTAAAGCTGGCGGCGTGTGTTGCAGGCTGTTGATGGAGAAGGGGGCGGATGACAGCCGGGACCGTGGTCATCACTGGGGGCATCTTGGCGACTGTGATTCTACTGTGCATCATTGCTGTTCTGTGCTACTGCCGGCTCCAGGTACTCTCGGAGGGCGGGGAAAGGGACAGGGCAGGGTGGCCCGGAGGGTGCCCCTACCTCGGGAGGGAGCCCTGCATGAAGGCCCCGAGGGTCAAGGCCCGAGAAATAGGGAAGAGCCTCATGGCAGAGGAGATGATCAGCAGAGGGCAGCCGGGACCCCACTGTGGGGCTTAATGAGATGTGCCTGACTCCCCTCACCTGGGGCTTTTAATGAGGCTCAGAGAGGGGAAGGGACTTAGCCGAGGGCACCGGCTGCCCAAGGGAGTGCCACAGCGAGCCTCCCTTCCCACCTGCACTCCTGGGCAGTCCAGGGTCCCTGTGTCTCCAGATGAGGGGGAGCCATTGGCGCAGGGCAAGGCAACAGAGCTGCCCGTGCCGGTGACTCCTGGCTCTGCCGGTGTGGGCTGCAGACCCTTCCATGCCTCAGTATCCCCACCTGCAAGATGGAAATACCAGTCACAACTGTGCATTGCTGGGTGGAAGAGATGAGCGGGTCATCGCGAAGCACCCGCACTGTGCCTGGCCGGAGCGAGGCCCATAGCGCCGGTTAAACAGCTGAGGTGTCAGGCCTGGGCCGCCCCATGCCCGCTGTGCTTGTCTCCCCTGCCCAGTTGGGGCTAGCCCTTCCTGCATGCGGGTTCCGGGGTGGGAGCCGGCTGCCGCAGGGTCACCATCCCTCTACCCACAGTACTACTGCTGCAAGAAGGACGAGCCGGAGGAGGACGAGGAGGAGCCGGACTTCGCCGTCCACTCGCACCTGCCCCCGCTGCACTCCAACCGCAACCTGGTGCTGACCAACGGGCCGGCGCTCTACCCCACTGCCTCCACCTCCTTCAGCCAGAAGTCCCCGCAGGCCCGCGCCCTCTGCCGCAGCTGCTCCCACTGTGAGCCCCCGGCCTTCTTCCTGCAGGAGCCGCCAGAGGAGGAAGAGGATGTGCTGAACGGCGGGGAGCGTGTGCTCTACAAGAGCGTCAGCCAGGAGGACGTGGAGCTGTCCCCGGGGGGCTTCCAGGGGCTGCAGGCGCTCAACCCCAACCGCCTCTCTGCCATGCGGGAGGCCTTTGCCCGCAGCCGCAGCATCAGCACTGACGTGTGACCTGGGCCCGCCCCCGCGTCCCTGGCCTGGAGGGTCCTGAGACCATGGCAGGGCTCCCGTGGCACACCCGCCTGGCCCCAGGCCCCAAGTGGGGCTTGGCTGAGCCCTCTTCAAATCCCTGCCCTCAGGGGAGGCCCAGGCTTGAGGAGCCCCCGGGCTCGAGGCAGGGATAAGGCTCATTGAACACAAACGTGTCCTTGCAGGGAGGCACAGCTGGGATCTGGGGCTGGAAGGACCCGGTGACCATACAGCGGGCCGGGCATGGATGGTTGCTCCTGACGCTTCTGTCTCAGCCCCAGCAACTTGGCCAACCCGAGGGGTCTCCATGGGTCACCCCATCCCTGGGCCTCGGCCTCACCTGCTCAAGAAGGTGTGACCTCAGTGAGGCTCGGGGCTCCGCAGCAAGGCACTCCCACCCTGGCAGTTGCAGACCAAGGATTCCGCGCCTCCGCCCTGAACTTGGGCCTCTCTCTTCCTCGCTTCCTTCTCTCCCCGCACTCCTCCCTCCTCTCTCTCACACACACTCCCGGTTTCAAGTGCCAAGCATCTGCCCAGGCTGAGAAACGAGTTGCTGCGCTCCCTGCAGATGGACAGGCTGCCCCTGAACAGGAGACTGTTGGGGCAGCAGGGCCCTTGGGATGCTCAGCCCAGACAGGCGTGTTGGTGGGAGAGAGAGAGGCCTCGTCACAGCCCACCTGCCTTGGGAGCAGCAGCGTGGAAATTCTCAGACGCAGTGCTCAGCCAGAAACGGGCTGGCAGAGCCGAGGCTCAGGGTTTGACAACCCCCTAGTCCCTGTGAGACTTGGATGGCCCTTCCCACCCCTGGGCCTCGGTCTCCCCATCTTGTGTGATGAGGGGCTGGTTGCAGAGGGACCCTGAGGACAGAGGTCTTCAGGGTCTGGGTCTCAACAGGAACTGAAGTCCCCAAGGGAGACAGATCTGCAGGTCACCTCCCCCACCTGCTTCTCAGCAGGATCCAGGAGGCCCGGCCCAGCCCCACCCTGCTCCTGGTGGACCCCAAGCAGCCGGAGCCTCCTGCTGCTGTGCGAAGGCCTCCTCTGAGCCCACTCTCCACCAAGCGCCCACCCAGGCTGAGTTCTCCCGGGAATTCCCACCCGCTGTCCTGCTGCTAAGGAAATGATATCAACGGCTACCCCAGAGAAATCCCCCAAACCCACGGTCACCAGCCATCAGGAAAGCAGCTCTTCCTCACCCAGGAAGAGGCACTGATTACTCTCAGCAACCTGGCCCCAGGATTCCCCCTTCCCTCTCTGGGGCTCTTCCTCTCCTTCTGGGCCCTGCCATGGAGCCCCAGGGCCAGAGCAGCCCGTCTGCCCAGGGAAGGCACTCTCCTAAAGGACAAGGCTGGCCGGGTGTGGTGGCTCATGCCTGTAATCCCAGCACTTTGGGAGGCCAAGGCAGGTGGATCACGAGGTCAGGAGTTCAAGAGCGGCCTGGTCAAGATGGTGAAACCCTGTCTCTACTAAAAACTACAAAAATTAGCTGGGTGTGATGGCAGGCGCCTGTAAACCCAGCTACTCAGGAGGCTGAGGTAGGGGAATCGCTTGAACCCGGGAGGCGGAGGCTGCAATGAGCTGAGATCATGCCACTGCACTCCAGCCTGGGTGACAGAGTGAGACTCTGTCTCAAAAAAATAAAAATTAAAGACAAAGCTTTGCAGGCCAGTGGCCTTCCCTGAGCTGGGGGCAGGGGGGCGGTGGGGGTGGCCTGAGCAGAACACTTCTTGCTCTTACTCAAAAACAAAGTCCCCCCATTTCCAGAGGCGTCGGAAGTGCTGGTGGAGACACAGTCATTACTGTTCTGTCCTTCTCCTCCTTTCTCCCTACCTAGCTGGGACGGTCCAGTGGCATTCCCCCTTGACGTCCCTCGAAGCCCCGGCCCCCGGCCCGCCCACACCTCGGGCTTCCTCTGTGCATCTGTGAAGTCTGTTTCTGATGCGTTGGCGTGGGGGGTGGGCTGGGTGGGTGGGGGTGAGGGCCCGGAGCTGGCCCGTGCTGGGGCTGTTCTGATTCCACTTCCCACTTCCTTTCTGGTCTCCGTCCCCTCTGTAAATATGTAGATCTCTTTGAACAGAAGTAAGCACCCATCCCTCCCAGCCTACTGGGCTCCCCCGTGGGGACCTGCTGGGGAGCTGCCGGCTCCCTGAGGAAAGTGAAAGCCAATAAAACATCTCCCACACTCCCGTGCCGCGTCTTCAGTCCACCCAGGCATCCAGGCCGCCCACACCCACGCTCTCGAGCCTTCTGGGAGGGACTTCCTTCTACCTAGCAGGAGGCAGAGTCAGCTTCTCCCCGGGATGCAGCCAGCGGGGCCAGGACTCTGCCCGCGGGACCGAGAGCTGCTCTCGGGCTTGGGGACAAGGCAGTGGGCCACGGGGGAGTTTCCCGGGTGGCTCTCCACCTTCCAGCATTGAGAACCATGCTGTGGCAAGATTCCCGTGCCGGGATTCCCATGGCACACCCACGTGGCCCCAGGCCCCAAGTGGGGCTTGGCTGAGCCCTCCTCAAATCCCTGTCCTCAAGGGAGACCCAGGCTTGGGGAGACCCAGGCTTGTGGCAGGAATAAGGCTCGTTGAACATAAACGTGTCCTCGGCGGAAGCACGGCTGGAGACTGGGGCTGGAAGGACCAGGGTGGACTCTGAGCCCCGGGGCGGAGGGTTGTGGGGGGACAGGCTAGGTCTCCTGGGAAAAGCGACTGAGCATCTCTGGGCCTTAGTTTTATCCTCCACACAATGCGGTGATCATGATACCTGTGTCATGGGGACCTTTGGAAGGTAAACCCAGGCGGCACCTGTGCCGGCCACAGAACCTGGCATACAGTAAGTACACAGTAAGTGTTGGCAGAAAGGAGGTGCCGGGGAGGAAAAAAGTAAGACAGGCAGAATGCGTTGGGGGAGAGAGGAGAGAAGAGCAGCAAGGTGAGGGTGGGCACAGGGTGAGGTGGGCAGAGAGGCCTCAGACTCCCCGTCTCAGCGACTCGGTTTTGACCAGCCCAAGCTGGTGACTTTGAGCAAGTCCATCCCAGGGGCCTCTAACTCCTGGCTTCAGGGATTGAAAGGTCCATCCCGACTGCAGCCCCTCACACACATGCGTGCAGTCACACTCAGGGGCAAGAACACACTGGTGGGGGGGGGGTACTGCCTCAGTTTCCCCAGAAACTCAAGTCGTTCAGAAGCTGTCCTAAAGCTGCGAAGGGCCCTGCTCTAGCTCCCAGTCTGAGGACAAGCTGGCCTCACATCAAGGAAGCAATTGGCACACGCTTACCTCCCGGGTGCCTGCGTGCACCGAGACACCTCCTGGGGTCCCTCCTCCCACGTGGCATCCTCCGGCTGTGTCGCTTTTCCTCTCCTGGGTGCTCTTTCCCACCTTCTCGTCTGGGAAAAGCCGCTCCTGCTGCTGGTTCAGCTGAGCAGCCCCTCCCCAGAGGCCCCCGGTGTCCCTGCACCCACGTGTCCAGGTCAGGAAGACCCCCCTGAGGTCCAGGAACGGCAGTGACAGTGCTGTTTCCTGAGGCTCAAAATGGGCCCAGCCCCGTGCCCCCAACACCTGCCTGGCCTCCTCTCTTCTTCCCAACGCGCTTGCCAGTGGGTGCCCCACACCTTAGCCAAGGTCCCCGGCCCCTGCTCCACAGCTCCTGTACCAGTTGCTGACGGGCTTGAGATGTCAACTCCACTCCTAATCCAGCGCCTGTCCCGGTGTCCCCAAACGCCCTCCCCGCACGCTCCTGGGCCCCTCGTTGCCTCTGTCTCCACCTGACCGTCTTTCTCCTTGGAGCAGGCGCTGTGGCCTCCACCTGCACCCTCCTCGCCCCACACCTAAGGCCTCAGTGAGCTGGAGAGACCCCACATGGCCATGCCCGGGCCCTCCAAGCCCCGAGGCTGCCTACTCCTCCAGCCAGAAGCAACTGAGACCCCACGATGCCGCCATAAATAGGACCACTTTATTCACGTAGACGAGTACTGACCCGACTGCAGGGGCGGGGCCCGAGGTCCATCCCAAATGCCCCGTGGGCAAGCGCCTCTGCCCGGGGTAGGAAGTGCAGCGGGAGGAGAGCTCCACGGGAGGGGCTCCGTAAGAGGGGGTACACCTGGGCCTCCTTGCTGCCTGTGCCCCTCCTCACCCCACAGCCTCCAAGGGAGGGAGGCCCCCCACATTGGGCTTGCCTGCCAGTCTCCTTCAGAAGGCCCTGTCACCCAGAGAGGACATGGGCTTCAGGCCAGACGTAAGACACCTCCACCACTTGGCTGTGGGCCCTGGGCCCCTCGGCTGGAGGAGCGGGAGCCACAAACACAGGATCCACGCAGGAACACGGATGGGCTCCCATGACAGGGGTGGCTCTGTCTTGAGGGAGGCCAGTGGGTGCTGGAGGACACTGCCCACTTTTCTGCCCCAGGAGCACAAAAGTCCATGGGCCATGGGAAGTCCCCTCTCAACAGCCGAGGCTCAGTGCCACGTCCCTCAGGCTGGCGTGCCCTGCAGGAGGGGTGTCTGTAGAGGGCCCCAGAAGCTGCAGCAGCTTGGTCTTTGTCTGGAAGGGGCTGCAGCTGCCGCGCCTAGGAGTGGGAGGGCCTGCAGGAGCGGCAGCACGCCTTGCTGTAGTACCAGTGCCCACAGAGGTTCACCTTGATGGCCAGGGCACAGTTGGTGCCTGGCTGGTCCTGACAGCTGTCATCTAGAGAAGGAACACAGGGCGAAGCAGGGCAGTTTCAGGAAGTGGCCGAGGGGTGAAAACCCCAAGGACCCTCACATGTCTTTTTCCAGGGGTAGGGGCAGTGGGCCTCCCACCCCACACAGACCCCCATCTCTAGCCCTCTGCCACCTCTTTCCTAGCCTCTATCTGTCCCCAAGTGGTCGCCTTCCCCGATCATGCCAGGTGATTTGATCTCTGTCCCAAGAGGGGTGAGGCCTGAGGCTGGGGTCTAGAGGAGCTACAGAGGTCACACCCGAGGCCTAAGCATCCCCAAGGGGTCCCCAGGGGCTGCCCCGTCCACCATTCAATGTAGAACTCATCACACAGCCTGCACCTGGCTCCTCTTGGAGCCTGTCCCCTGTCCCGCCTTCAGGTGTCCTCCCCTCCCTGCCCCATGTCCCAGCCCCTGTCCATTCCAGCTGAAACATCCTGGATTCAGCTCTTGGCCCCACAGTGGCCCTGCCATCTGAAGCTGACACTTTCCCCAAAGTATGGGTCTCAGCATGGCTCCCTGGAGCTGTGGAGCCCCAGTCAGGCCTCCCCTGTCCCCCTTCCCACTCTCCCCTCTCAGCGGGGCTCAGCCACGCCGGGAGGAGGCCCCCGCTCCTAGCACACCTTGGTCTCTCAAGCTGGTTCCCAGGCTCACCATCCAGGTGAGCGATGGCTGCGCATCCTCAGGCCCTGGCTCCACCCTCGCCTCCCTGGGAAGCCCCAGGCCCACCTGTGCCTCCCGCCCCTCACCTGGGGGCTCCGTGGGGCAGGGCTGCAGATCACAGGCCTGTCTGCCAACGGGCTTCACCAGCGGATCGCAGCCGCGGACGATGTCAGTCCCCTGGTAGCACTTGACATCTCGCATCCTCACGCCCACCCCGCAGGTCTTGGTGCACTGGTATGGGAGACAGTGGGTGTGGGGAACCCTCCGTGGGGCCACAGCTTGGGCAGGAGGTGGGGAACCTGCACCCCGCCCTTCCCGGCGGCTGTGGGCCCAGCTAACACGGGACCTGGGAAGCACGTTGGAAACTAGACCTGCAGCTCCAGGCTGAGCTGAGGTGGAGACCAAAGGACACTGGCAGGTGGTCAGGGGGCTCCGATTCTCTCCCACCCAGGGCTGCCTCAGTCTCCCCAGGTGCACAGTGAGGGGTGGTCCCTCCTCTCTCATCTCCCAGAGGGTCCTCTGGGCCCAGCTCTCCTGGGTCTGTGGTGCACACCGTTTGTCATAAGCCAATAGAATGCATCTCGCGAAGCCACCAACCCCTCCAGTGGCTCCCTGTCCAGATGTTCCCCTTGGAAAACCCCGCTGAGCTCCCCAGAACACCAGAGACATCTGCTGGCCGCAGTCACCCTGCTGTCCTCCTGCCAAGATCCCACAGGCGGTGGCTCCCTCGCCCTCCCCCCGACATGGGTGACCCCACATCACCCAGGCACGTCTGGGACCCCAGCCATCGGGTTCTCTGAGGTGGGCGGGGTGGGAGGCCCCAGCCCTGGGGCCCACTCTCCACTTTTGTTTGCAAAGGAGCGGGGAGGACCAATTAAGACTTGGCAGAAAGACGGCGGACCGCCTGCCTGCTCTGAGCCAGTGCGTGGGGGCTGGCCTGCTCTGCGGGCAAGGAGAGGCTGGCCTGGCACCGACGGCGTGAGGACAGTCAGCCTTTGGCAGGGTCCCGAGGAGCCTCTGGACGTGCCTCTGGAGAGCAGC